AATTGAAACTAGAAAGTAGGCAACACACAATACACGAATGAGTTTGTATTGCCCATTTTAGGGATTTATTTATATAAAACGACACAGTGTCTCAAACAAACTATAAATATGAATTTGGTCCAATCTAGTTCGGCATATACTAGAATAAATTATTTGCCAACTGGTATGTCATTAAGTCGCTCTTGAGTAACGAAAATGTATTATACCACCAAAAGGAAATCGGTCTTCCCCCACTGCCTCTCGCGTACAAAACATTCGTCATATTTTATACGTAAGAAACCAAATTCCTATGGCAAATGTGTGGAAACGCTCATTCCAAACCGGACCAAAGGACACATAAACATCCAATTTCAACCAGTCTATTTAAAAATTTACACTCTTCTGTTTGGCTAAATGTGGGTTTACACTATTATATTTGTCATACAATTTCTCATATGATAACTAATAAGCAATTGAATTTGTGTTTACACTATACTATTTTCGGTATTATTGCGACAAATCATAAGGAAATAATATGTAAATCAAACAATAGAGACGGGTCTATTCTGCATGACAAATTACGTGATATTTTTAAATATCCCGCCTTTTCTTGGGTATGAGTGGTAAACTTTGCATGATTTACTACTTGACAGCGTTTGTGTTCTTTCTAACCTCTATTAACTGCTGTATAGTTGTATTTGTTATTAGAAATTTGTTAAAATAATCATTTTTGTGCAAGCTAGCCCTACAGCTATAACGAGTAAATTTGTGTAAAATTTAGTAATGGAAAGCCATGGCAACACTATTACGTACACTTTCCCATGGCAGGCCACAATTGACAGAAGGAATTTAGAAATTATACCGAGCTCTTGGTTTCTTTTTTCTAACCATTTTCGCGTCCAAACCTGGCGTGACTTCTGCTTGCGGGTATTTTGAAGTTTTTTTCATTTTAAAACAATGCCAATGATAAAATGGAAATTTGGCATTGTTATTCGAGAAGGGAAGTGATAACAGATGGCGCTACCACAAAACAAAATGGGCGGTGTAAACGGGGTTAAATTGTGTTTTGTATGTATCGTATCATATCCAGTGAAACACTAAGGAACACAACAATAATTCTTGCTCTTATTTTTTTTTAAAGAGGACGAATTTAGCGTACATTCAGCCATAATGCTTATTATTTATCCTGTTTAGGTTAGTTACATATTTCTCCGCCACGTGTCGCGTCGATCTCTCCCCTTCTCGAATAAGATCTTCCATTACGTTATTTATCTGTGGTAACGTCAATCAATTTATAGGTTAGGAATATGTCGGTTTATTTTTGTCACAAGTAAATAATATGAAAAATCATTCAAGTGTAAAGTAAAAACACTGCGATCATACAGAAAATAAGTTTGCCCTTAAATATCATATTAGACATATATAAAATTAATATATAAATATATATAATAAATCATATGACAAATATTATAGTGTAAAACCACCTTAAAGGAAAACAAACGATGAAGGGTGAGCTATGAACCCACCTTTACGGTTAGCGGTACTTGAGCTACAGCCAAAGTTTTTCTACGGTACGTCAAAGCAATAGACCCCTAAGAATTTGTATTTAATTAATACGAAACTTTATTGTTGATAAACAAAAACGTAATATCTGGAGAACGTTATTGATACTAGATATGGACGGAAAAGATGTCGCCCCTCTCATTAAAATTGAACCAAAACAAGAAGAAGAAATCCATTACGATCTTCAAGGAACCATTTTACTAAGCAACGAAGCATTGGTTACAATAAAGGACGAAATTACCATTACTGCACAGTGTTCCAAATTGTTTGATAATGAAGAAGTACCACAACAAACTGATTGTGAGTGGAATATTAAAACTGAAATTACGACTGATTGTGAATGTGACTTCGGTCAACACACAACAAATAGTAAGTTGCAAGTTAAACAACAACTTTTAGAGCATAACGTTTCAGGCTTTCACTGTGCTCATTGTGGTTATGGTTATGGAACAAGAAATAAACAAATGGTTCAACAGCACATGCTACAATGTGCTAATCGTGATTACAAGACCAGTAACAGAAACCACTTTAAACGAGACCTCTTAGAACATACCTATTCTAAATATTTTAAATGTGCTAATTGTGATTATGTGACAAATTACAAATCTCATTTGAAACAGCACCTTTTACAACATGCCGATTCTAAAGAATTTAAATGTTCTAATTGTGATTACGAGACAAAGGAGAAATCCAACTTGAAACGACACTATTTAACACATACCAATTCTAAAGAATTTAAATGTGCTAGATGTGATTATGAAACAAATAACAAATACTACTTTAAACAACACCTTTTAAAATACACCGATTCTAAAGATTTTATATGTGCTAATTGTGATTACAAGACAAATAACAAATACGGCTTTAAACGACACCTCTTAACTCATACCGATTCTAAAGAATTTAAATGTGCTAGATGTGATTACAAGACAAATAACAAGTACAACTTTAAACGACACCTCTCAAAATATACCGTTTCTAAATATTTCAAATGTGCCAATTGTGATTACGAAACAAACGACAAGTCCAACTTGAGACGACACCTTTTAAAGTATACCGATTCTAAAAAATTTAAATGTGCTAATTGCGATTATGAGACAAATGACAAACAACACATTCAACGACACCTTTTAACACACACCAATTGGAAACAATTTAAATGTGCTAATTGTGATTATGAGACACATCACAAATCCTGTCTTAAACTACACCTTTTAAAACATAGTGTCTAACTAATTGTGATTATGTACTAAACGACACCTTTTAAGGGACCGAATTAAATAAATAAATATATTTGTTATGTTTGTGGTGACAACCCTAGTGTTTTAGTTTATGAGAGTGAATAAACCAGTACTTCCAGTGGCGGCTCGTCAGGTGAGGCAAGTGAGGCTGAGCCTCACTTCCAAATTTGTCAGTTTAGCTACATTATACATCAAGCATTCGCAAAATAATAAATTATTACAAGAATTCTTAAAATTCTTTACAATACCTTGTAAATTACTGAAATAGTGTAAATTAAGTCAACGTTAAGCTCAAATTTCAGAGCTTAATATGTTTCATTCTTAGCGTGTGCTGCAGTGTTAAATCTCCTGATCATACTTTACGCGCTCATGAAGCTCGAATAATCAAGCCTCTTGATTTGAGTGAACATGGTCGTGTATACTCGGGCGTTAGTTATATGCCAGCACCCCTAATCACGCATACGCCACTGGAGGGATCCCATTCCACATTGATAAAACTAGAAGAACCTCTAAGTTGCACTTTTCTCGCATCTAATCTTTTTTCGCCAAATGTTATATAAGTGTGATAAATAACGGTGTTCCGCATAATTGCACTTTTTCCGTACTTTATCTTTTGAAATCATTGTTAATCATATTTAGATATCTTACGAAAACTGTTAAATAAG